ACGCCAGTGAAAGTAGACACGATGCTGCTATGGCTATGCCTCTACGGTAATTTGAGCAATGCGGAATTGTTGCATTCAAGTTTTACGCATGGTTTTGTTATACCGTACTGGGACAGGGAGACTGCTTCGAGCTTTTGTAACTTAAAGTCGATGGGGGAATTTCCATGGGTGGTTCAGGAAAAGCTTTTCAAGGAGGTTCTGTTGGGTCAGGTAGCAGGGCCATTTGTGGACCCCCCGCTTCCCGGCCTGCGGTTTTCTCCGTTAGGAATGGCTCTTAAAAAGGAAGTGGGGAAGTACCGTCTCATCCATCATCTTTCACACCCGAAGGGGTCTTCTGTGAATGATGACATTGCCAGGGAACTGTGCTCGATCTTGTATGCATCATTCAACCAAGCGGTCAAGTTGGTTAAGAAGGCTGGACAGGGGGTGCTGATGGCCAAGGTGAACATCAGGCGGCATTCCGGTTGTTATCTGTGCACCCGGAGTGCCATCACCTGCTGGGGTGTTTCTTCGAGGGCCAGTATTTTGTGGATCTTTTCCTCCTGATGGGCTGTTTCATCTCTTGCTCATATTTTGAGAAGTTCAGCACCTTCGTGGAATGGGTGGGTCAGAAGGAATCGGGGTATCGCTCAGTGGTGCACTACTTGGATGACTTTCTCTGTGAGGGCCTGGCTGATTCTCCGGTGTGCCACTATCTGCTGCGGACAATCGAATGGGTCGCCGGCATGTTCGGGGTGCTGCTTGCGGCAGGCAAGACTGAAGGCCCAATGTAGTGTCTCCGTTTCCTGGAGCTAGAAAACGACTCCCTGCAGGGGGAATGTCTTCTTCCCCAGGAAAAACTCCTGGGACTGCAGGAGGCAGTGGCGGGAGTCTATAGGTCTCGGAAAGTCACATTGAAGCAACTGCAGTCGCTGATAGGGAAACTTAACTTTGCGTGTCGGGGGATTCCGATGGGGCGGGTTTTCAGTCGCAGTCTCTCGCGAGTCTCTCCAGTCTCTCTCATTTTGTTTGGATCTCCAAGTTCATACGGGCGGACCTGGATGTCTGGGACACCTTCTTGGAGCACTTTAATTGGATAATATTCTTTCGCAGGGCAGCGGTGTCGGCAGCAGACCTAGAGCTATACACAGATGCTTTGGCTAGTTTAGGTTTTGGGGCTTATTTCTGGGGGCGGTGGTGTGCCTGGGCGCGCAGACCCCTGATGCAGAACTTGGCCTTCCTGGAGCTCTTCCCTCTGTTGGTGATTCTATTTCTCTGGGGTGATCTCCTCAGGGATCGGAAGCTGGTGTTCATCACAGACGACATGTCTGTGTTGCATGCAGTTAATAATCTATCGGCTTCTTCGGCCCCAGTGGTGCACCTCTTGCGTCACTTTGAGTTGCTCTGTATGTCGCTTAACTTGGTGTTCTGTGCTCGTCATGTGCCAGGGTATTTGGATATGGTGGCTGATGCTCTGTCTCATTTGCAGTGGTCCTGATTTCGGAAAGAGGCAACAGAGGCGATGGCAGATGGTCAGAAATGCCCCGGGGACATGTGGAGTCTTGGAACGGCTTGCTTGGGAGACTTGTGAGGTCATCACTAGCCCTTGGTACATGGATGGCCTATTTAAGGTTTGGGATGCTTGGGAGCAGTCAATTGCAGGGTTGGACAGGGAGGTGGTACGGGGTTCCGGGTTGGACGCACTGCTCTGGTATATCTTTCGACTCTTGCCAAAGGGTTCATCCCCTGCGGTCGTGGACCAGCATATGTCCGTGCTCACATTTTGGTTTAAGTTTCGGGGGTGGGAGGACTATACCAAAAACTTTATTGTTTGGCTGGCCTTGAAGGGTTTCTGGAAGGGGAGCAGTGTCCATGACACGCGGAGGCCCGTTTCGCTCGATTTACTGGAGGGCCTGGTGCGCGGTCTTCCGGGGCTTTGCTTCAACGGGTATGATGCGGGTTTGTTTGAAGCAGCATTCCTCTTGGCTTTCTTCGGGGCGTTTTGGATTGGGGAGCTGGTCAGCTCCAATCAGGTTGGTTGTGGGGGTGTTCAACCTTCGCATGTTCGGTGGGCTGCGGATAGGGTTGTGGTACATCTCCGCCGGTCCAGGGTAGGGGTTCGGATGTCCTGCTGTATGCTTTCCTGGGTTCTCCCTTATGCCCGGCGGCTAGTGTTGCTCTAGAATTGGGATGGTGCCCGCTAGGGCCAGGTTCCTTTCTGATGCACGAAGATGGTTCCTCGCTTTCCCGTTTCCAATTCTTCCGGGTCTTTCAGGGAGGGCTTGGCATTTGTGATTTAATATGTGGAGAAGTGTTAATGTTGGATGGCTGAGAATTTTGGGGTGGGCAATGACTTTAAAAAGTTATGCATATGTTATTGTTATTATTAGTATGATTATAATAATGTCAGTGTTTTATTAGGGGTGGGTTAGTATAGGTAGTAGACAGCTCCTCCTGCCCATATGGTGACAATGCACCTGTCATGGAGATGTGCCTAAACCTAGCCCTAACTATAACCCTATCAATATCCTACTCTCTAGCTCTAAGCCCAACCCTCACACTAACCCCTACCCTATCACTATGCTTTACTCTAGAACTAAACCTGATCTAAATAAAAATACTGACTCAATCTCCAGACCCAAGCCTAGTTCTATCCTACAATTTGACCTTTACCAAGCACAAAACATAGTTCTAACCTTAACCGTAATGCAAAATTAAGCCCTGCAGTCAAATTACCACTACTCCTGGGTGGCAGCAATCACTATAGTACACATTTGCCTCAAAAAAACAAGCAAAAAAAAGTAACCTGTCCACTACCCCACATCCCAATGCACATTTAAATAACTGGAGGTTTTTAGTATTACTCTAATGGCCAATGACGTGTAAGCTCGCCTTGCTGCCACCCAAGAGTAGTGGGAGTTTGACAGCAGGATTTAATTTTGTATGCTTGTATTTGCTTTTGTATTACAGAGCCATGTAACAATGCTGCCGCTCACCCCATGTGTGCCCTATTAAGGATTAATGACGTGTAGGGGTTTAGAAAAATACCCTTCTCTGTCTAAGAGGTTTTGCTTTGACGTGGCAGGTGAGTTTACACTTCAATGGTTATTGTAGTGGTACTAAAAACCTCCAGTTATTTAAATGTGAACAAGGATTTGGGATAGTGCACAAGTAACTTTTGAGGTTTTTGTTCTATGTATTGGGGCTGATGTGTACTATAGTCATTGCTGCAGTACAGGAGTAATGGGAGTTTGAGTGCAGGACTTTAATTTTTATGTTTGTACTAACCTTAATCCTATCCATATCACTAACCTAAACTGTACCCCAGCCCTGAACCAAACCTAAAGCTAGCTAGCCCTAACTCTAGCATGAATTATAAATCTAGCCTTAAAGAGGAACTGTTCCTTCTTTGTAATTAAGTCAAATTAAAAAGTTAGCTATTGGCTTTAGAAAAAAAATAATTAAATTCTCTTTACATTTTAAGTTATGAAAATGCAGTATGCAATGATGAATTTTTTTTATTAGACTAACAATACTTAAAAGACAATCTTTCGAGAATATTCCGCTCTTCCTCAGGTTTAAAGCAATACTGATCAATATGATAGAGTTTAACACTTAAAACAGCTGATCTTGTTAGAGACTGGAGGGGGTGAGTGTGGTGTCATAAACACCAGATATGCCTGAGAGTAAAATGTGCAGATTGGTTGTCAATAGTCAGAATAAGTAAATAAACAGAGAAAAGTCAATAAACTAAAACTAGCTGAAAAAGGCATACAAATATACAGGTGCATGTATTTATATATAAAATGCTCAAATATAAGTAAAGTGGAGGTATTGAAATAGAAAGTGATAAGACATTGAGACGTGTGTTTATATAAGTTTTGTAGGGTGTTTAAAGCCAGAATCTACATTAAATCCTTCTTTGGTGGTGCTGAAATGTGTGATCAGTTTTATTTCAAATGTCTTCCCTTTTTGAGAGTGTTTACAATTCCATTTAAGCAATTTAATCTTGAGATGTTGGATAGAGTGATCAGTCTGGGTAAAGTGATGGCCCACAGGGGTACAGTATTTGTTTTCCTTATGATTCTTGATTGAGTGTCTGTGAAGGTTCATTCTGAGATACAACTTAAGACCATTTTCCCCAATGTAGCAACCTTTGTCACACACTGTACACCAGGGGTTCTCAAACTTTTTAAACAGGGGGCCAGTTCACTGTCCATCAGACTCTGTTGGGGGCCGGACTATAGTTTGAATACAATATGAACAAATTCCTATGCACACTGCATATATTTTATTTGTAGTGCACAAAAAACAGGAACAACAATACAATATTTAAAATGAAGAAAATTATAAACTTATACATATTTCAATGGGAAGTATGGGCTAGCTTTTGGCTAATGAGATTGTCAATATCCAGTTCCATATTAGTCACTGCTGGTCACAGCAAGTGATGCAAGTGTTCATCAGTTAGTCTGGATCTGTTTGGAGATTTCAGATGTTTCATTCTGGAAAAAGTATGTTCACAGACATAGGTGCTGCCAAAGATGGTTGCAATTTTGAGTGCATGGTTCCTGAGATTAAGAAATGTCTCAGAGGGGAGAGATGCATTTAAATTAATAAGGCTGCTTGATTTGAATGTGTCTTTCAGAGAGTCACAATTCTGTAGTTCGGCCAATTCCATTTGGTAAATCGGATCAACAATTTCAATGTCAACAGAAAATGGGTTCTGGAAAAGCTGTATGCCCTGTTCATGGAGATGAAGCTCTTTAAATCTAATGTGAAACTCCTTTTGAAACATTTCTAGTAAACCCACACATGTTTTGTTTGGGAATGCAACTTCTGTTTTTTCCACCAACAGGTTTTGAGTTGTGGGGAGAGGCAGAAGTTTTCCTCCTTCACTTGTTTAATACCGGTATGTACCCTCTGTGGCCAGCCTCTTCTACTGGGGGGCACAGGGGCTGGACACCTCAGGGCCCCCCAGGCTGGCCCTGGTGTCAACGGGCGGGCTGGCTGGGTGGTGCGCACGCAAGGGAGCACTCTCCCCTGTGTGCTCCCTCTTCAGCTCCCTCACGCACCACACTGATCCCGGAGCCGGAAGATGACATCATCTTCCGGCTCCGGTATCAGAACGTGATGCGCGAGGGATCTGAAGAGGGAGCACACAGGGGAGAGTGCTCCCTCGCGTGCCCGCCAGCCAGCCAGCCCGCCCAGTGATACCACTGGACCCCAGGGAAACCCCTCAGCACTCCGAAAGGTAGGGTGGCTGGGGCGATTAAATTCTTTAAAAAATGTGTGTGTTTGTTTGTGTGTGTTAGTGTGTGTGTGTATTAGAGTGTGTGTTAGTGTGTGTGTTAGTGTTAGAGTGTGTGTGTGTGTAGTGTGTGTGTTAGTGTTAGAGTGTGTGTGTTGGTGTTAGAGCGTGTGTTAGTGTGTGTGTTAGTGTGTGTGTGTTAGAGTGTGTGTGTTAGTGTTAGAGTGTGTGTTAGTGTGTGTGCTAGTGTTAGAGTGTGTGTGTGTTAGTGTTAGAGTGTGTGTGTGTTAGTGTGTGTGTTAGTGTTAGAGTGTGTGTGTGTTAGTGTTAGAGTGTGTGTGTTAGTGTGTGTGTTAGTGTGTGTGTGTGTGTGTGCTAGAGTGTGTTAGTGTGTGTGTGTGTTAGTGTGTGTGTGTTAGTGTTAGAGTGTGTTAGTATGTGTGTGTTAGTGTTAGAGTGTGTGTGTTAGAGTGTGTGTGTTAGTGTGTGTGTGTGTGTGTGTGTTAGAGTGTGTTAGTATTAGAGTGTGAGTGTGTGTGTGTGTGTGTGTGTGTGTGTTAGTGTTCAAGTGTTCGAGTGTGTGTTAGTGTTAGAGTGTGTTACTGTGTGTGTGTGTTAGTGAGTCTGTTTGGTGTCTGTAAGTGAGTGTGTTTTGTAAGTGAGTGTTTATGTGTCTGTCTGTCTGTCAGTGAGTGTGTATGTATGTCTGTCACTGAGTGTGTGTCTGTCAGTAAATGTGTGTGTCTGTTAGCTAGTGTGTATGCATCTGTTCGTGAGAGTGTGTGTGTATCTTCAGCACTCACCTTTCTCCAGCGTCGGATTCCCTTGGCGCTGGGGATCTCTCTGCCCTGATCCGCCTCTCAGCTCCGAATGCGCATGTGCGCGCATTCAAACCGCCCATAGGAAAACATTACTCAATGCTTTCCTATGGATGTTCAGAGTCTTCTCACTGTGATTTTCACAGTGAGAATCGTAGAAGCTCCTCTAGCGGTTGTCAATGAAATAGCCACTAGAAGCTGGATTAACCCTCAGTGAAACTGCTATGTTTTCAGCTGCAGGGTTAAAACTAGAGGGACCTGGCACCCAGACCACTTCATTGAGCTGATGTGATCTGGGTGTCTGTAGTGCTCCTTTAAGTGTATGTGTATCTGCACTGGTGTACATACCGCGGTCGCAGGGGTCTCAGCCCTGCGACCCCTGCGACCAGATGCCCGCCTCCATGTGTTGCGGCCCCGGCCCACGCAGAGTAAGCACGGGGGCGGGAGGGGGCCCACAGATCAGTTTTGGCACCGGGGCCCCATGGGTTGTGTGTACGCCACTGCCACCAGCAGATGCATGTTTACTCGTACAGCATATACACTGTTATTCACAAACTGGTAAATGTCAGAAGTTGACATAGGGGTTTTCAAATCTTAAATCATATTATTTAAACTCATAAAAAAACTAACTCATTCACCTTGCACACACCTTGCTCAGCTATTTTGGTCTAAATCTGGGTTTCCTTGGTGCTTCCTAATACCAAGTTTAGTGACTACCCCAGACAATTTACCTTTTCTTTCCTGCAGTGCGTAGAGCAAAAAAGTATATCCCCGGATGTTGTAGAGCTACAACTCCCATGATGCTTTGCATGCCTTTGGAATCTCAAAGCATCATGGAAGCTGTAGTTTAAAACATCCAGGGAACTACCTTTTGGGCATCCCTGGCATAGAATATGTATATTTTAATAGTTCATGCTGTAATATGTATTTCATATGAGATACAATCATAGTTTAATAGAAATGACTCATCTTAAGCGTCAGACTTCTGTATTTCATGGCCCAGAAAAAATTTAAGTGGATATCCACATCTCTGCGGCAGACATAAATATGCATAAGAGGGTATTGCGCACCCCAGCAATATTAATTTAAATTGTAAACATGACAGCTATCTTTACAGCACTATGTATGCTGCTTGCTTAATTGAGCCCACTGGTTTTTAAGATCCTTAGGGTTTAATAACTTTCTTTGAGGAAAGTAAATGATATCATAAGAATGATTAGTTACAAGCCATTTTATCTTTCTCTTTTCAGACAACAAATTGCATTTTATAGAATTAAGCCAGGACAGGCTGAAATACAGCGCAAATAAACAGTTCATTAAAAAAAGTAGCAATCATTGCTAATTTTTAGCATGCTAATGGGTTGTTGTGCAAACAACAGACATATCACAGTTCTTCTAAATTATTCCTTTCCTGAAACAGTGTAGAAATAAACACTTTTAATTTATTTATTTTGCTGAATCATTTTATTTATTCTGCTGACTGTTATGGTTCTAACTTCATTCTAAGCAGAATTTGGCAGAATACCCATTCCCTCAATTTTTTCAATATAAGCACTTTGTTCTTATTTACCTTCTAATATTTTAATCAACACAAGTACACTATCTTAGAAGTTTAAAAGCTGAAAGCTATTGTTATAGTGACATATATTAAACTATTTTGGTTACAGCTTAGAAATAAAAAGAAAGTATAAGAAATGTGTTTATAACATCAATTCTCATCAGTTTGCTTCCTAAACAACGTCACAAGCTTTCAATCTTTTTACAAACTTTGTGCCATATACCAACTGAGATTTTGAACACCTTGCCCAAAATCGAAACCATATGAGGAGGTTAGAGCTGAAACACCTAAATAATCGAAATTGCAATCCAGGTTAAAGAGACACTATACACCCTGTTCCAAATTATTTAGCAAATTCTATTTAAGAATCACAAAGATTAAATATTTTGTTTTTCAGTTTAACTCATGGATGGCATTGTGTCTCAGGGCTCTTTTGATCACTGAAAACAATCTCGGACACCTTTGATAATTAGATTGCCAGGTGAGCCCAATTTAAGGAAAAACTACTAAAGGAGGGTGTTCCACATTATTAAGCAGAGCCCCATTTTCATGCAGTATGGGGAAGAAAAAGGATCTCTCTGCTTCCGAAAAGAGTAAAATAGGTCAATGCCTTGGACAAGGTATGAAAACATTAGATATTTCACGAAAACTTAAGCATGATCATCACACTATTAAGAGATTTGTGAATGATTCACAGCACAGACGGGTTCATGCAGATAACGGCACATTGAGGAAGATTTCTGCCAGATCCATGCATCGGATCATGAGAGCAGCTGCTAAAATACCATTACATAGCAGCAAACAGATATTTGAAGCTGCTGGTGCCTCTGGAGTCCCAAAGACATCAAGGTGTAGAGTCCTCCAGAGTCTTGCAACTGTGAATAAACCTTCTATTCGGCCACCACTAACCAATGCTCATAAGCAGAAACGGTTGCATTGGGCAGAAAAATACATGAAGACTAATTTTCAAACAGTCCTGTTCACTGTTCCAACAAGGCTGCAACATCAGCAAGGCGGTGGTTGAGTCATGTTTTGGGCCGGAATCATGAGAAAAGAGCTGGTCGGTCCCTTTAGGGTCCCCGAAGGTGTAAAGATGACCTCTGCAAAGTATGTGGAGTTTCTGACTGACCACTTTCTTCCCTGGTACAGAAGGAAGAACTATGCTTTCCGTAATAAAATCATCTTCATGCATAACAATGCACCATCTGATGCTGCAAAGAATACCTCTGCATCAATGGCTGCTATGGGGATAAAAGGAGAGAAAGTCATGGTGTGGCCTTCATCCTTCCCTGACCTTAATCCTATTGAGAACCTTTGGAGCATCCTCAAGCAAAAGATCTATGAGGATGGGAGGCAGTTTACATCCAAACAGCAGCTCTGGGAGGCTATTCTGACATCTTGCAAACAAATTCAAGCAGAAACTGTCCAAAAACTCACAAGTTCAATGGATGCAAGACTTGTGAAGCTGCTATCAAATAAGGGGTCCTATGTTAAAATGTAGCGTGACCTGTTAAAATGTTTAAAAAGTTAAAATGTTGTTATAAGTTTGATTGAAATAGCTTTTGATTTCAGTAAATATGCTGCAAACACAACAAATGACAATTTTCAGTTCTTTACAACCAATAAAGTCTTTTGAAACTTACTGTGCGTAATAATTTGGAATAGTGCATTTTAAGTTTTTTATGTTTAAAAAAACACTGTTAGCATTAGGAGGTTTGTTCAATAAAATTTGAATTGTACACTTAATGGTTGCTAACATGAGAATTGTGCTGACTGTTATTTACATCAATTATTTAGGTAAATGAGAAAATATCATTTGTATAATAATTTGGAACAGGGTGTACTTGTCAGTGGTTTTAATGCTGTCGATGATAGTGCATATCTCGATTTAAAAAAAAGAAATGAGAGAATATGAACGATTGATTAATTATCACTTTTTCTATCTTTTATTAATACATAAATGTGATGCAGGCAGGCATAATCTTGAGTTTTAAAAGGGGGATTTATCAAAAAATTTAAGGAAACATTCAGTAGACAATTGACCACCCATTCACCCCTTCCACCCTAAAACAATATTTTCCCAGACATCCAGTCTGTAGGGTCAATGACATAGAGGAGAACTTTCTACTGTATTATAGAGTTGCAGCATGTTTTGTTTTTAATTTTAAAAAATAAAATATATATATATATATATATATAAACATCCCTATACCCTCAGTACTGCTCTTTCCCCCATCAGAGAGCCTACCCCCAACATCTGCCCCTATCCCCTACCACAGCCACATCCTCTCTATCCCCCTTTACCCATTACAGCCACTTTCCCCCCTGCACCCACTACATCCCTTATTACCCCCTCACCCACTATAGCCCCTATCCTTCCTGCACTCAACACAGCCTCTATAGCCCCTATTACCCCCTGCGATCACTACAGCCCCTAATCTTTCTTTGCACTGACTGAAGCCCTTATCACTCCCCTGTATTAAAACCCCTATTATCCCCTGCACCCACAACAATCTCTATCCCTCCCCTACATAATCTACAGCCCCTATCCCCCTTGCGACCACTACTAAAGGTTTAGTGGCAGAAATTATTAGTGCCCCTCCCCCAGTTTTGACTGTGGAAAATGTTGTGCTCCCCAAGCGTACTGTTCCTAGAGTTGCCACTGGTGACTGGAACTATTTAATGCAGCAACATTTAACATATTTTGATTTATTTTGTACTTATTTTGTCATACTACTTATGTCAAGGCATTTCTTGATTATTGATACAAAAGTCACAATTCCTAGTCTTTAGTAATCAGCATCTATAATAAGGGATGTGAGAACTGTGACACAGAAAATAAGAAGCACTGTGTAAAAAAAAAAAACCAAAAAACTGAAAATTGTAGATTATGCTAGCGTAGTGTACAGATAATCTTAATTTTAATAATGACAGGAGGCGAGTATTTTGCATAAACTTTCTTTACTTTATGCCTCCAGCAGCACAAGTCAATCAATCAGAAAAGAAAAAGTTTAACCAATCAGAGTCCAGCACCTCTTGTATATAAGTCCCTGACAGGCTTCCCATTTCCTCTTTCTTTGTTGTGATCATGCCGGAAAGCGACAATTCTTTCGTAAATGCAGAAACTTGAACGTAATAACTTGTCAACTTGTCAACTTGTGGAAACTTGTGGAACGTAGAGAATGTCTAGGGTCCGACTTCTGTCTCATGAAGTGAGATTAAGCTGAAAGACATAGAAAAAAGGTGAAAGGCGTGGGAAAACGACTGTCGTCCGCATATCAACCTCTAAGTCTAGTCTTAACTCTAGCAAGACACTCCTGTAGTATCTAAATTCTAAAAGTAACACCTCAACGTTAGCATTACTAACAGTCACATAATCCTATGTACACAGAGAGGTATAGTCTGATCTGATAACTGAACTAAATAGTAAATGACCTCTGGTTTAAGCGTCCCTAATCCCAGTTTTTACCCATAGCTAACTGAAATAGTGTGTGAAACCTCAGAGTATAGGGAGGGAATGACCAAGAAAAAAGGGGGGGAAAATACTCGCCTCCTGTCATTATTAAAATTAAGATTATCTGTACACTACGCTAGCATAATCTACAATTTTATTACATGACAGGAGGCTTCCTATTTTGCATTTTTAACGCTGGGGTAAAAACGCTAAGGACGCGTGTGATGATTGGCGAAAGTAAAACACCCTAAAGGTACTCTCTCTGGTCCAATCCGCTGTACGTAGAATGTCCGCAAGGGAGGCACCCGCCGAGAAGGCCTTAGAAGCCGCCGCCCCTCGAACCGAATGGGCCCCGAAACTAACATCTATCCCGGCTAGTGACAGCAGCCATCGTATCCATCTAGCTAACGTAGTAGTGGTCACTGGCTTGTATGGTCTGGTATACGAGATTAACAGCTGTCCCGATCCGGTAGCCCGAAGCGGCGCCGTAACCTCCACGTAACGGAGTAAGGTGGAGACGACACAAAGACGAGGAACCGCCGGAAAAAACGGGTAGGACACGGATTTGGAGTCCGTCTTAGTCCTTCGGGATATCAAAAACGTAACACCGACGGGCGTTATCGTAAATCCGTCCACGTCGAAAGCCCGAACATCCGATACCCGTCGGAAAGAGACTAAGCACAACAATAAGGTAAGTTTGGCTGCTAATTGTCTGAGTGATAGGTCAGCGTTATCCGGCCAGTTCTGAATGAAACGAATGACCACGTCCACATCCCACAGTTGGTGATACCTCGGTGTCGGTGGTCTAGCCAATTTGATCCCTCGTAATAGTCGACATATTAAGGCTTCCTGGCCCACTGGAGTCCCGTTAACTGGAACATGAGCCGCCGATATAGCGGATCGTGTAACGTTAATGGATCGGTATGATTTTCCGTTGGAAAACAAAGTGGAAAGGAAATTCAGTATGTCTGATACAGGTGCTGTAAAGGGATCGAGGCTCCTTCCCAAACACCAGCGGTCCCATACATTCCATGCTGCCATGTAGTTACGTCTAGTCCCTGGTGCCCAAGAGTCCCAAAGGAGGTCCTTAGCCGTTTGCGATAAGCCTGGGATTGCCCAAGATCCCCTGAAAGCGTCCAGGCTACCAACTCTAGACGCTCTTGAAGTATGAGGGGATGAGGTTCCGCATCCGGATTCGTAAGGAGTGTGGGGAACGTTGGTAAGACCAGCGGGTGGTCGTGAGATAGTGCGAGCAAGTCGGGGAACCATGCCTGGCTTCTCCATAAGGGTGTTATCAGGATCAGCGATGTCTTGGATGTGCGTAGTTTGTGGAGCACTCTTGCTAACATCGAGAAAGGTGGGAAGGCATACGCTCCCATCGAAGGCCAGTGCTGTAGAAAGGCATCCACTGCTTCGCTCTGGGGATCCGGCAACCAGCTGTAGTACCTCGGTAGTTGCGTATTCGTGCGTGAGGCAAAAAGGTCTATGTGGAGTGGTCCCCTGATCGATCTCACCGTATTGAAGATCTCCGTGTCCAGATGCCAATCGCTGGAGTCCCGCCAATGACGAGAGAACCAATCCGCCGTGAGGTTGTTGAGACCTGGTAAGTATTCCGCTCTGAGGGTTATGTTGCGAGGGAGACAAAACTGGTAGATGTCCTTGGTAGCCTCCGTCAATGTCCGTGATCTGGCTCCTCCCAGTCTGTTCACGTATTGGACTGCCGATATGTTGTCCATGCGTAGCAGTATACAACAATTGGACACATGTTTGGCCAGGCTGCGGATGGCGAATGAGCCGGCTATCAACTCCAGGCAATTGATGTGTAGTGACTTTTCTTCCTCCGACCAGGGACCTCCCGTGGATGCGTGTGCGCAGTGGGCTCCCCAGCCCCACAGGCTGGCATCCGATTCCAGGATGAAATCCGGGTTCGAACCGAATATGGCTCTGCCGTTCCAAGCCTCCATGTGGAGCAGCCACCAACGGAGTTCCGTCCGCACTTCCGCGGTTATCCTGATCGCTTGATCGTATGAGTGACCCTGTCTCAGGTGGTGAGCTTTCAGCCTTTGCATGGCTCGGTAGTGGAGGGGTCCCGGGAAAATTGCTTGAATGGAGGATGAAAGTAGGCCGACAATCCTGGCCAGTAATCTCAGAGGGACCATGTCTTTCCGAAGAAAACGCCGTATCTCCTTCCGAATATTCGCAATCTTCGTCTTGGGAAGGCGGAGTGTGCATGTTACTGAATCTATCTCGAATCCGAGGAACTGCACCACTTTCGATGGGGAGAGAGCTGACTTTTCCATGTTCACGATGAAACCCAAGGATTCCAGAAAGTGCACTATGAATTTCGTCTGAGAACGCAGTTTGGAGTCGTTGTTGCAGAAAATAAGTATATCGTCTAGATAGATTAGGCATCGGATCCCTCTTGTCCGTAAATGCGCCATGGCTGGCTTCAGAAGCTTCGTGAAGCACCAAGGGGCGGAGCTGAGACCAAATGGGAGGCACGTGAACTGGCATGTGCGTCCTTTCCAGTGAAATCGAAGGAAAGGTCGACTGGACTGTGCCATCGGAACTGACAGATAGGCATCCTTTAAATCCAGTCGTGTGAACCAATCGTGCTCCAGTAGTAGATCTCTGAGGAGATGTATGCCCTCCATTTTGAAATGTCTGTAGGCTACGAATGAATTCAGTTCGCGTAGGTTGATGACAGGTCTGTAATCTCCTGTCTTTTTCTGAACTAGAAATATGTTGCTGATGAAACCCGTGTCGTCGGGGGCGAATTCGACTGCCCCTTTGAGGAATAGTGCTCGGACCTCGTCGTCTATGAGCTTGGTGAGTTCCACCGACGTTCGTATCGGTTGTGGTCGACGTGATTGGGTCGGTGTGTGCGCGAAATCGATCTCGTATCCCCTGATCGTTTGAAGGATCCAGGCATCGGAGGATATCTTTTCCCAGTTCTGCGAAAAAAGAGACAGTCTGCCAGCAGTAACAGGGGAGAGGCACAATGGTACTTGAGGGGTGCTCACCTGTATTGAAGCGCCCGCGTCCGCGGGTACGAGCTCCTCTGGGTCTGAAGGTTCCTCTCGAGAAGGGTGGTCTCGATGGGAAGAACGACTGAGTAGTTCGAATTCTGGGGCCTGTAGGCCAGAAACGGCTGGTGGCTCGGCCCCGATGTCGACCAGCCCTGCCGAAAACCCCTCTGGTTGGAGTAGGATTACGAAAAACTTGTTTAATGGAAGTCTGGGCCTTGCTCAATGTCGTAAATAAGTTCACATGTTTCTTTAGCTCGCCAATGAAGGCTTCTCCGAATAGTTGGCCATTGGCCCGTGGCCCCAATTCTTTCTTGCCGAGTTCCAGGAGCTTGGAGTCCATCTTGAGAAGCGCGGCTTTACGCCGCTCCGCGCAGAGTGCGGCATTGGTGTTGCCCAATAAGCAGATTGCGCGTTGCGCCCATTCTCTCACATCGTGGGCGTCCAAGGTACTCCCTTGGGTAAGCGCTCCGTCTGCGAGGTACAGGATCTTAGCGAGTGGGCCAAGCATATCTAGTAACTTATCTTGCGAAGCTTTGAGGCCCTTCTCGATGCCCTTACGCGGGTCACGTCCCGTCCGTGACATGAATACGACTACCGTGGTGTCGAATTCAGGCGTGTGGGCAATCTTGTCCGGTAGGCTAGGTCTTGGACACTCGGACTTCAGTCTCGCCCGGACCTCTTTGTCCATAGGTTGTCGTAGCCAAAAATGAATGAATTGGGCCAAATGGTCCGGTAGGCCCCATTCCAATGATCTCGGGTGACGTATCGTACGTGGATCAAACAACGGATTGCCTTGGGGGTCCACGAAGGTGCCGTCCTCCAGGTCGTCTGCCTGTGTATCGGCCTTCCAGTGCCCATGACGGATGTCCTGCTCCTCGACCCGCTCCGACCCTGTGTGGCCGCGGGGTATGTCGAGCCAGTCCTCCTCCTCAGATGGGGAGTCCCCCACTCCCCACTCGTCCATAACTTCCAGCGGGGTTGGTGAGTTACCTCCCTCGTCATCGGATGATGTCAGCGGGGGTGTTGACGGATCTAAGCGGTCCGATGGGCGGCTCCTCTTGAGTGGGGCTTTGCCCTTTGCCGTCCGTGGGGCTGGGCCATTGCCCTTCCAATGTCTCTTAGGGGGAGCACTATCCCCTGAAGGCTTCTCCTGGCCTTTGGTGTCCGGGTCCCCCTGTGGGGTTTGGACCAATAGTTTCGCTATGGCCTTTTCCATTGAGGCCGCCACCGCTGAATTAATTAGTGCTTGAAAGTCGGGTGGAGTTTGCTGTGAGGGTTCACCCATGTTCATGGTTGCAATCACTGTCTGTAAAGACAGGGTAGAGTCAGGTACCGAAGTACGTGAATAGTACAAGGCAGTAATAAGGAGGTACGGCGTTCCTCCTACGACTGGGGGTCGTCTAGTGTGGCCAATGGGCCCAGATCAAACAACCTGTTTTAGGTATTGACACTGCCTGTAATTCTGGGCTAGCGAGGGGGTCACCCTCCGGCTGACCGGACTGAGCGGTCTAGGATATAGAAATCTCGGCTAGGTCATAGTGCCTAGATATTGCACGGGTCGTGCCCTTAATTCAAAGCCCAGTGGGGAAGAAGTGTGACAGATTTTCCCAGTGGAAAAGGCATGAGCAGGACACCCCAGTCGTAGTATGGAGGGTGCCGACCACACGTAACAGCATAAATAGTAGGGGGGTCACCCCGCTCTTCGGATAGTATGGCACACGCCTGGGGGTCACCCAGCGCAGGGGGGGTCACCCTTGATAACAATAATAGTGTGCCAGTGGGGGGTCACCCCACTCAGAGGGGTCACCTCTGGAAGAGCTTTTTTTTTTATTATTATTGATTTGATTTATTTATTTATTTATTTGATGTGATTTATATATAGTATTCCACTAATAAGAGACAGGCAGGGTTGTTACTGGATGGTGCCTTATGTTTGTTCAGTGTCAGCAGTACAATCACAGCATAAAAGGTTTCAGGGTAATAAAAAGGGGAAAGAAAAGAATGGAATGACCAAAAAATCTCCCTCTCCCAGGCCCCCTGCCTCTATGGAGGGAACCTGGTAGGCTGAGAGTGATAGGAGTGGGGATGGAACGACGACCGTGTGAATCACGGTTTTCCCCACCCAAGATGGCCGACTTGGATCTCGCGAGCAGCGAGATCCAAGATGGCCGTTCGCGCCAAAAGCTAAGCGCGGCCCGTGATCGCGGTGATCGCAGGCCGCAAGCGAAAGTGGTCCCCCCGCTCCCCCGCCCGCCCTGAACCACCCGACCGGAAGGGAGATCCCAGTCGCGGTATCCAGACGCGACCACGGCAATTTAAAGCCGCGATCGCGGCAAAGAGCCGCGAGCACCAGTGAAAGGCAGAAACAATGAGGAGGGGGGGGGGGAAGGACAGGGGAGACGTGCCAAATTCAAAACCCAGCAAGTAATAAAATAAAATAAAAGACAATAATAAGACCACTAGTATCAAACTAACTACTGAAAACAATTAAAGCAACAGAAAATAACAATAAACAGTATATCAATAATTACAGACAAAATCACTCTGACCTGTGTCTTGGCTGGAAGCAGCAAAGAAAGAGGAAACGGGAAGCCTGTCAGGGACTTATATACAAGAGGTGCTGGACTCTGATTGGTTAAACTTTTTCTTTTCTGATTGATTGACTTGTGCTGCTGGAGGCATAAAGTAAAGAAAGTTTATGCAAAATAGGAAGCCTCCTGTCATGTAATAAAATTACAAGCAAACAAAACGTTTCTGACTGACAGCAGTGACAAACTTGCCTTTTTCTCTTTTCAGGGTATCAAATAATTTTGTTTGGCTGTTCGCATAATGAGAAGGGCTGGCGGAAGAGTTGTATATGAGCCAGTTAAAAACAGTGGAAATACTTGCATACAATGGATATGATTGGGAAAATGAGCCCACAAAATGTGAAATATGAGGTCATCATCACTCAATCTAGATTGTTTAGAGCTGTTTCCTATGTTGC